AATACAACAAACTAAAAAATATATATATTTATAAGATAAAAAGAAAACCATGTTTGAAAGGTCATTTGTTTCCCTTGAGCAGAGCACAAATACACACTCCTCCACTCAGTTCCACAGGTCTTACTTTATGTATATGATACAGTTATATACATATGTACAAGGAATAAAGCACTTACACTCACCATTTTGATGCAAGGATACATCTCTGCACCTTGCAATCTGATTACTTTTGATCTAAATTGGTGTTAAAAACAGGGTTTTGAAAAGTTTACTTCAATTTCAACAGTAGCTTCCTATTAGCTGACTCTAGAAGGAAAATGCACTAAAGGTATTGATGAGGGTTGGGAATGAGTGTAGGGGACAGTGGAGAATTCTGGATGGAATGGTGGGTGTGGTCTTCCCTGGGTGCAGGTAATAAGAGTACATTAAAGGGAATTAGAAAACAATATATAAAGGGAATAAAAAAAGGCTTTTCACTGGCCTCACAAACCAGAAATATTCAATAATGCCCATGATAAAGGATGACTCCCTAAAAAATATTTGGTTGGTCTATATTCCAAACAATTGATGTGGTGACTATTGAAAGTTAGAATATATCAAATTAGCACATTTTCTGACTTATCCTATAATGAACATAATAAATGTCATAGGCTACCTGGGACTTGATTTGTAGAACCATCTACAGTCAATCTCTCCTCCTCCAGTTCAGCCACAAGTCTTTGTTTTGTTAGAAGTTTTATAACAGCTCAAAATTCTTTGAGTTTACAGAGGCTGCTATTCATGCTTATCCCCTGTGATCCTACATAATTATTAATGTAAACAATATATCATAAATAAATAACGATGCACAGTGATTGTAAAGATGAAGAAAGTGAACGTGAATTCATTCAAGTCTGTCATTCAGTGTGACTGCTAGTAGTTCTTCTGTTGAGACAGAGAAGCAGCTCTGGCCTGGTGAACTGTGGCCATACAGATCAACGACTAAGGCACCTGGCTGCCCCCACACCCTGGTTTCCTATTCCCACTCCTCTAACCTACCTCAAAAACCATTTGCCTTCAGAAACTTGTCTCAGAATCTGCTTCTTATGGAACCAAAACTAAAACAAACAGCATCATCTCATGATGAAGCAAACCCTCCTGCTGATTCCTGAGAGTGAGTGAGCAAGTCTGGAGCTTGTCTCCCTCATGCAGCCCTCCTCATGCGTCCTCATGTCAGCCCCTGAGGGAGCTGCTGTTGGCCTTTCTGATAGTGCAACTCCAGAGCAAGGTCCTCAATGAGTTTTATTAAAGATGCTTAGTGGAAACAAAGGCTTAAGGAAGCCTAACAGGCAGCTTGAAATGAAGGGGAGGCTGCTATCCTTGAAGAGGGTGAAGGTTCACAGGGGACACCCCTCTAAGAGAATTCAGGTAAGTGTGACATCTGCCTTCATTACTCTGAACTCCCAGAGAGGTGATGATGGGATTCTCAGTTCTGTCTGTCTACATCTGTGAGGTTTTGTTCCTTTTCCAGAATCTATAGCTTCCCAGGCCCTAGATCAAGAAGAAATTTGAATCTCTGAGTATAGACACTATACTTATATATAGAGAAATATATATTTATGTTGTAAAATATAATAAAATAATGTTTTTCTATAGACTATATATCTTATAGGCATATAAGCATATGAACATATGGATGTTTACATCTTCTTGGGTAATTCTAAGACACAAAACAGAGATAAGGACCACAGAAATGGAATAGGAAAACTGTTGAACTTGTGTGAAATAATCAAATGGCAATTCCCCTTTGTCTCTTCATCATATGTTTCTTATAAAAATCCAGAAGGACATCCAAACTCTTGCTAAATTAACTGCAGACACAATGGTATAGTTTATCCATTAAAATTGATCCCCTTTCAAATGAATGTTTCTCTTTCAGTATGTGGAGTGATTAGGAATTCTTGAGGAAGAAATGGGTTTCCATTGATGTTGATGCTGTCTCAATTATCTTGCATGCAGGAAGAAGGTATCTGCATGAGAAAATACAAATTCAAGGTATAGGCTCTCCCTGAACTCATAAGCTCTCTCCAACTGCCACTAATGTTGGACGCAGGAGGAAAGTGCATGTGAGGAATGATACTCCACCTGTAATTACAATCTTGGCATGTTGATGTCAATACCTGAACATGAATATGCAGCTGCAGTATTAACATAGGATATGATTTTAAAATGCTCTTTTGGACTCTCCCTGGTGGTGCAATGGGTTAAAGCTCCGCATTATGAAGCTCTCAGATGCCACTGCAGCACAAGTTCAATCCCCAGCCAGGGAGCTGACCCACATGGCATGGCAGTCCTCTCCTGACCCACATGCTGTTCCCATTAGTGGTGTGTTTCCGTCCATCTGCCTGTTCTGCTCCCCACTCTGTCTTTGGTGAATCTTCTCACCCACCACACCTCTGGCCTGTACCCTAATTCTGTAAGCATAAATAAATAAATCTTTAAAAAATGATTCTTTCACTATTATAATTGCTGACAGAGTCCTGGCAGTGAACAGTTTTTTAGAGAAAAGCTGATTTTGAGCCGAAGAACTGGCCAAAATCTCAGATAGGACACAAGTACATATAGACACATATGTGTTTTGCTATCTATATGTAGTCTATATAAGAGATACATACATCTAAATAGATATTTAGACACAGAGATAGAGAATTAGATGGAATTCAACTATAGAAGGAAAACATTTCATACTAATAAATACTTTCTTTTATGCTACAGTAAAGTTAAGTCTTGAAGTTGGAGACCCAGTTTGAATTATTCCTGTCAGTTAACTGGCTTGTATCTTCTCAAGCATATAAGAACAGTATCTTTCCTTTGCCAGAAGATATTACAAATAGAGATTAGATTTCAATGACTGCATAGAATAAGAACTTTAAAGGCACTTGCCTAGTCATATATTTAGCACAATTTGCTATACATCTCATAGTTGGGAGCTTTTGCCTTATAGTTCAGTTATACAATCAAATTTTGTGATATTATTTGTACAACTTTAGAAAACATCATTCAGAAGTATATGTGTGGAAATACATAGCAACACAAAAATCCTATAAATGCAAAGCTTCCACCTTGAGTTTTTATCTCCTGATGTTTACTACAACACACACACACACACACACACACAAGCAGCATTGTACGGGCCCGAAAACCCTTCCTCAGCCCATGTCCATGACACTTTACTTGTCAACTTTATTTTTTAATGGTTAGTGAATTCCATGCAATAATTGCCAGTTCTCTGCACCCGTTTGTTTCCTGCTGCAAAAGAGCTAATCTATTCAGAGGAAGATAATTGCAGAGCTGTTGAGACAGAAAAGAAATGGCTGCATCTCACCACTGTTGTGCGCCTCCAGCTGCGAGGCAGAGTTGACAGCAACCTTGCAGAGGGAACAGTAAAGAAGCCGTTTTGCCTTTTCTTCCTCAGTCTCCGTGGAAGGACATGAGCTATTGCCAGTGGCTGTCGTGGGGCTTTTTTCCACTTTAGAGGTGATCTCAGTTGTCATAACACTGCTTTTGCGAATTTCCACAGTTGTCGTCGTTGATATTGCTGGTGTCCCTGCGGCACTGTCTGCATTCAAAATAGTCAGGAAGAAAAAAGAGGGGAAAACAGTGGTATTATCGTTCCCTTTTTGGAAATGTAGTACTAATATTACATTCTCCTAATAAAGTTAAGAGCAATTCGTGATTGCTGCTTGCCAACTATGTTTCCATCATCTCTTGAAGAAAATTTCATAGTTGGCCATGTAGAGCTGTGTATATTGCATATTTACTTAATGTTCAGACAATTCTCAAAAACACAAGAAGGACACTTTGCATTTTTTTCTATGGGAGTTAGTAAACAAACACATCTGAAAATTTCTCCTGCTCACATAAGGGTTTAGAAAAATAATTTTTACATTTCTTGTCCTTTATATACATATATACTTACACCAGTGACTTTTGAAAGAGAAAACAGAGGATAAATCCCTTTAAGATACTTTAACATACAATTTGGCTTTAGTTTTCCTTGCACAGATCTTTAATTAAAAAAAAAATAGGTGCTAGTCCTTTTGTATATGCTTGCTGGGGGGGGGGGAGAGGGAGGAAGGAGGGGAAGAGGATATAAAAAGGAATCGATAACATTGCTTTGTCTAGACTAACAGGTCAGAAACTGCCCCATTCACAGAGTTGTATATCCAAGACCAAGAACAAAAATCATCAATGGAAGAGGCACTTCAGTCTGGCCTATTTAGTAAATGCTCGTTCTACACCAGACTGTGTTCAGGGAGGTTGTCACACTATATTCAAACACCAATGGCCACGCTCCATAAGGGAAATCACAGAGTGGTCATAATCCATTAGTGTTAAAACACTTTAAGAATTTAATGGCAGTGTAACTTGAACTGTTCCCTGACAATTCTTTGGGATCTGAAGTATGATTCTAAATCTGAAGAGATCTACCTCCAACAGGAAATTACCTATCTGAACTCCACTGGAAAAAAGTAATTCTCATCCTATATAAACTCATCCTATATAAGCTCACCAGCATGAAGATAGCAGTGTCTGCATGTCCAGTAACAAACTGAAAGCCCGATTCTTCCATCCTTCCCACTCTTACATCACCCTTCCTGCCTCCCAGCTGGTGGCTACTTAACCTCCTATTCAAGGGACTCCCAGGCCGTCTCTCCAGTGATAGCTGTGTGGGATTGCTCCCTAACCCATATGTTGCTGTGGTCACTGTGTGAAGACATAGAGAAGCCCATGATAAATGGATTGACCAGTGCTCAGAAAGAATTGGCTCTGCCTCAAATGATTACTGCTCTTTTTTTTTTTTTCTTTTTTTGCTTATACTATCAAGAGCTAATCACCAGAACAGGATGTTTTTTCACTTAGATTTCCCCTTTGATCCAGACATAGTGATAGAATATGGACAAGGTGGTTATGGCTTCTTTCCCAAGTGTGGCCTCAGAAACATTAGTCACCTAGTAGAGGAAAGGACTCTTGCTGAGGGCTGTTGTGTAAAATAATTCATCAGACTCTTTATTTCTTTTGTCTGACACTTCACACATTTTTAATTAGTCAGTGAGCTGCTAAGATCAGCAAATAAGTCTTCTTCAGTGTCAGAAGATCATCCACCAACCATGTTTAAAAAAAAAATCATACTACTAATCAGTCTCCCATGGCTAGGGAAAAATAAATCAGCTGATTTTGATATTAAGATTAATCATCATTATACATTTATTCCCATAAACACTGAAAGGTCCATTTACTGATTAGTTTTTATTTGCTACTAAGCATCAACATTAAAATATCATGTAGCACCAACATTAAAATATCACATTCTAGCGAAAACATACTCCTGAGGTATGGCATAAAACAAAAAATACAACTACTTTAAGATAGTCCAGTCACTATTTCTTGCTTCAAACAAGACAGAAATAACTAAGTTTGTATTTATGTTTGTGAATAAATAACAAATGGCCAGCATTTTATATATGCAGTTGCATTTAGCCTCCACACAAACTTGTGCAAATTAGGAAGCTGTGGTAGTGAAGGAAATTTTCCAAGGTTCATGTAAATAGTAACTAGTGAGCTATGGCAAAATATTTCATGGAACAAAGGAATCGAGGATTATTGAAGAGAAATGCTGTGAATGACAAACTGGCTAACAGTGATTTTCCACATAAATAGCAGTGAGCTAAAACCACTAACTTGTTCTTAGGAGCAGCTGCAATGGGAAGTGACAACCATAAACACAAAAATACATAAACACAGTGTCCACATGCCGGAATGTTGATGGCAGGTACTTAGCTCATTTAAATCTAGGTAAGGCTATCCTTATTAATACTTCCTTTCTAACATTCCCCTGTATTCACAATATTTATTTTATGTCTTGATCTGAAACTTGTACATAGCATCAGACATAGCAACCCTAAACCAACTTCCCTATATACAATGAAATTCAAAAAAAGTATAAAATAAACAAAACCCTGGATCTTCTAATTCTGTGACAGTTACAGTATTGTCATTCCTAACCTCAAAGGATAACGTGCATTTATACCACAGAGGCCACAAGATTAGACATCAGATTCTCTATGCCAAGGGCTTAGTGGACATTTAAGGCAAGTTCCAGCATACCACAGGTTTAGGGGAATTACTATTCTGAGTACAGAATTGTTATTTTTCTTGTAGTTAATTTGAAAGAACTAAAAACTGTATTTTTAATTTTCAATTTAGAAACAGAGCTTGATTCTTCAAATGCAGGATTACTATTAATTTATAACAAGACAGATTTTTCACTTACTTCTCATCTGTCAGTGATGAAAGGGATTTTTTTAAATGAAAAGATAAGGTAAATGTATTTTACCATTATGACTGATTCACAAGAGAATTAAGTATTTTATACACTGCATAGAAAATTATATATGACAAAGAATTTTACTTAATCTGGTACTTTAAATTATCACTTATACATAACTCTTATCTATGCATTAAAATAGACTCTTAAATAGGCAATCATGTTAATAGCAAATATTCTTGATGTAATATAACAATTTCCTGTAATCTTCCTCCTCAAAACTCAAAAAATTCTCTTAGCTATGAGAAAAGCATACAACAAACCTAAATTTAAATGTATTCTATAAAATTCCTGATTGAGTAATAGTCTTCAAAACTATTAAAGTTTTGTAAACAAGGACAGTCTGAGAAACTTTCACAGTCCAGGGAAATCAAAGGAGAAATGATGACTAAGTATAGTATATTCTGGTTGAGAGGCTGGGACAAAAGCAAACAGATATTTGGTAAAAACTTAGGAAATCTGAATAAAGCATGTACTTCAACTAATAATAAACTATCAAATTTGGTTGATTAGTTGTGATATATGCACCTCAGTAATGGGAGGTTTTTTTCTTATGATTTATTTATTTATTTATGCATATAGAGTAGGGTACAGGCCAGAGGTGTAGGGATGGTAAGAGGCTGACTGATGAAGTACACCACTGAGGGGAGCAGCAGACGGGTCAGGAGAGGTCTGTTGTGCCATGTGGATCACCTCCAGGGCGGGGATCGAATTCATGCTGAAGTGGCTTTAGCTTCTTAGTGCCATGCTTTAACCCGCTGCACCACCAGAGAGGGCCCAATGTGAAGTGTTTTAAGGGTTATATTATATGGAAACCTTCTTAACCCTCTTGCACTCTTTCTGTAAATCCAAAACCATTCTACAATTAAGTCTACTGAATGTAAGAAAAAAATAGAATTATAAAATTCCATTAAAAAAAAAAGAAACAACTAACAAATACTGCATCTCTAAACTGCTTTGAAGAGTCAGAAGGAATCTTAGTGTTTTCATAGTATAGCTTTTTTGTTCTTTGTATCAGTAAATTCCTCAAGTGGCCTTGAGTAGAAACTGGCTTGACATTGCTTCGCTCAGTTCCAAACCCAGTGTTTGTCATCCTACATTGCAATGATTCATATATTCAAATTCCATTTCATTAACATTTATCAAGTAGCAATTCTCTTCTAGGTTCTATATTAAACTACTGGGAATGAGAAAACCAATAAGTATTCATCATGCACTAAGTAGCAAAATAGTTTATGAGACATCCAGTAATGACTTCAAAGAATAACAGTAAACTTAACAATCCTTAATCTGTTTTGCCTATTGCTGTATCACTGCACTTATACTTGGCATGAAAGGGGCACTTAATAGTCATTGAAAGAAAATAAGGAATGAATGAGGGAACAAATGATATTATAGCTAATGATTGTGGAAGCATTTTTAAAGCACCCAAAGGTATGAACTCATGTAAACTTCATTAAAACCTTAGAGTGGCATATTATTTTTATCCCCATTTAAGAGATTTTGGGAGATTTGAGGACTTGCCCAGTACCAGCTCTGCCAGCAATAGCCCAGTGATTTAAAATCACTCTGACTCAAAAACACATTCTCTTCATTTATTTCTAATTACTATTTTTTTTTTTTTAGTTTTTATCACAGAACATTTGATGGCTTCTTCAGTTAATTCAATTGGTCTTGACTTATTATGCATGCTTGAAAATAACATCCTAAAAATCTGACTTTATAAGAAACTAAAGAGGGTCCTAACTAGTTAATCATGTACGTCCAATCATCTATTTATGCTCGCGTGTTGTGCTGGAGTTCATATAGGATGAGGGGAGAAAGGAAAAACTCCGACCTCCAAGCAAAGTAGTAAAAAAGCTTCCTTAATGTACCTCTGTTTTTTGTTTTTCAAAAGATGAGAAACTCAGATAATGATTTACAATCTTACTTTCCCAAGAGTGGACTCAGATGAGCCGATGGCCCTGCAGGAACAATATATGTGACAGGGATTCAAAAGTAACGGGTGTATTTCCACAGCAAGAAAAAGGTTTGGGATGGTTTGATTTTGTATTTCGATGCCTTTTTTGTGCCAGTGCCCTGTAGCAAATATTCATTCTTGTAACTGCCACTATTTAGCTTTGGCATCAAAACAAACTGCTAAAACTTTGTGCATTGGGGCTTTAGTTGAAAATTAAAGGAAACACATTAGTATTGAGAATGGCCCCTTTTTGGTCCTCATTTTTATATGA